CCATGTTCGTACGTTGGGTTACCAATTCTGTAGTGTCTTCGCTTCGTTAATAAATCACACGGATGACAGTTATAATATAAATGTCAACGGTTTTTGAAATCAAAAGGCAAAGAGAAGCTACAACTACAGTTTACTGGAGGACGGCGCAGGTCTCAAAGCTATAGGCACATTGAACGTAGTTGAATCGGAGGGGCGAATAAATATATGAGAATAATTACATAGGCGAACTTATAGTCAAATAGCATAAGGGTGAAGTAAGGTTAAGCAAAGACTAATAATAGGAACTGAGTACGTATATACGTGGGAAGGAGGGATCATCGAGTGATAATTAATAATAATAATTTATTCTCAAATATCAGCTTGTCGCATGAAGAATGCCGGTTTACAGGCAAGATCAAGTTGTCACAAAAGACATCATTTTTACTGTAGTAAATTACCCAGCTGGGCTAACATTTTATAAGATTTGAATGAAGATGGTTTTAGTGAGAATCGTATTTTCAACATCACAGTTGGCGCGCTTTATGTAGGCTTGACGGTCGAGAATAGATGTATGTCAAGTTGGGGGCTTTTAGAAATTCGCAACCTTATATCCCTTTAGAATGCCCAAGGCTTTGATGATGGTGCAGGACGAAGTCACCCGTTTCATATCTGTTTTCAGTGGCATATCTGAAGGGGGCTAAAAATGGGTGCAAGAAAAAGAAAAGACGAGAAGCAGAGCAGACAACGTTCATGAAAGAATAGTTAAGGTATGACTACTCAGTATGGGATTATGTATAGTTATAAAATATAGTGGTGAAAACAGTATTCTGATGCACAGGTGACTGCCGCCCTTTCCTGTCCAAGCTATTCGAGCCCATTTTTGTAGGGTTTTGAGCAGACATCGTTTTTAGCGAATTGTCTAGTTTGCTTGCAATAGGATTACTCGGTAGGAAGTTAAACCAATTCAGCGTTCTTAACACGATTTAATGAGGTATTTTGCATAATAGATCAGCATCAGTACCATTGGTTCGTGACATTCGACTAGACCATAAGGAGCCGTATATATATATTTATATAACAGATATATTTAATCTATACGTAAGATAACATACTACCAAGATAAAGTGCGTTGTTCTCAAGCAAAACATACCTGACCGCACATTAATCTGATGCTTCTTAGTTCTGACTGTCGCTACAACATATTTACAAATGTCACTAAGATAACTACATCAACCTCTTACAAAGGGTCTGTATTATCTCCATTATGTTCTTAACTGTAGTGCCATAAGGCATATATCAAAATTTAAATATTGTGGTTGCGTTTTTCAGGTCTTTTTATCCAGTGTCAGATAGCACGTTGACCTAGCATATACATACGTTATATAACGTTGCTTTGATGCCCTTTGAATTTACTTTACGCTAGCCCAACCATGGTCATTTTGTCACAGGCATCTGTTTGTACGAATTTGGCTGTCACATTAGTTGCCTTAAATAGAGTTCGTCCTAGTTAGAACCACAGCCAAAACAAAAATACTTATTTCCCACTCATTACTGCCCAATCATTAACCCGTTGTTCTATCAGTACTTTGATTAATGCTCACACGTACTATCATATTGTAATATTGATTAGTCCGCGGTTAATTACCGCGATCGATGCAAACAAGTGATTAACTATATTTATGTTTGGCTATGATGGTTCATTAACAAGCTTCAATAGCATTTAAAATCTTCAGTGAAATAGGTTTGTTAGAACATCAAGAACTAGCAAATAAGGCCTTCGATAAATAAACACCGGCTAGCAATGTATGCAAGGATCTTATTCTTCACCTTGTTCCTTCACTTAGTATTTCACTTTATTTAAAATTGTTCGCTATCCCGTAACATCTTTCATTTCGACTAATTTCCACTTTTCGAGTTCCATTGAGAAACGACGAAGCCAATATTCGAGAAACTTATGGTGAGACTAAGCTATGAAATTTCTGCAATCTTTACTTCATTTCGGATGGTTTATGCATTAACAGCCACATAATTATATGAACTCTTGGATTTGTGCTGAATCAGTCAAGTGACAAAATGTCAACAGCTTCAAGCGCCCTGGAATTAGTTACCCTACTGCATGCTTAACTTGGTTCCTTTTTGGTCTTCACCATTTTGTCGCAACTGGTTTTGTGTGCGTCGAATCCACCGCACAGTGTAAACTTTGCTGGATGATTTACTGTTCTTGTACTTAAAATATGTGTATTTTCACTTATGTTAGCCGTATATATCTCATACGAACTACTCTCAAAACCTTTGTGCCGTAAGATATATTCAATATCTATACACGACAACATACTACATCATTTTCGAATTTACCCCATTAATGACAAAGCTCCATACCATTATCGTAGACATGAGTTGGGAGTCGTACTCCCCTTGGTTGTAGCTTATGCTCTCCCTGGTAAGCACGTGGGCGTCACTCACTCGTTATCATCTTGTAAAATTTATTTAGCCGGAAGCATTGCGGCACACAGGCTTTGTAGATTTCAGCAGTTTTTTAATCACTATATTTCACATAAGTTGTTTCCTGCCTTATGCTAAACCCCATACTCGCAACTGACATGTGTGCACCTTCAGCCAGTAAATATGCATATAAATAACCGGCTCGCTGTACACGAAATCACTTAGTTCAGAACATGTGTCTAATGGACCCAATCATACTTAACGATTTATTGTCAGCTGTCTGTCCAAAATTCACATAGTCTGCACTTCCACGCAAAATAATTTTTGATGTTCGTTTTATTAAATCCTATCACGGTTAAATAATAATTAAGTAGAGGAAAATCTCCCTGCAACCAACTAAACCATAATAAACTTGACAAACGAGCTGGAATATTAGTTATACTTCTGTTCCTTTAGTTGACCTACTAATGCAGATGTAATTTGTAATCGCCACATACGGACAGTACACCGGCATAAACACCAACTAAAAGCGGTATCTTGCATTATTTGTTGTGAGATATGGTGACAATATTTGACCGAGTACTGTTAACTAGCCGTGTTGTCGAGGTTGACGAGGTTGATCACAAACCCGACTTCCTACAAGTACCATACTGTGAGTATTTGTAGTGGTAAACAGATTCTCAAAATCAGTATCTCTGCAAGTCTTCAACGTTTGGTGCCGGCTGCATCGGCTTAAATTGACTCACCTAGCTGAGGGCGCTCGATTACCCATCCACACCAGATCATGAGTGGGTACGCCCTGCTTCACATCTCCTACGACCTCTAGCCTGTTTAGTCACTTCCCAATATATCGATATTCTGTCAAATATATCGTCAGGTGTTGTTAAACTCCAAATACTTGTAGCACATTTAAATGTAATCGTGTTCCTGTCTGAAATTGATGATAACTTCGGTTAACACAGATGATGCAGTTCGGCCCACATCTGCCACGAAACTTCAAAATAAAATATTTCATCACAAAAACCATATCTCAGCTATTATTCATCAAAAGATCGTCATTCCGATAATGTTATATCACAATTTAGTCGTGATTTGTCAAGAAAATGATTTTGACTGGCGTGTTGTCTATAAAAAGTAAAGTTGTATTCAGTAACGTAACATAACTGCTTATTTCATACGGTTTTGACAGATACCACGATGACACCTAAAACTCACGGAAACATCCAGCGAGGATTAGTAACACATGCCCTGTTTGATATTACATTTATGCGATGTCTCCGCTGTTTTTCACGACAAAGACATTAAGGGGTTGTAATCTTCGAATGCTTATCCACCACGTAACATGAATTTCTTCCGTCTCAACGTGTAGCTACTATTGAACTTTGTGGTACTTTACCAGTTTACGAGGCGCGAAGGTATATGTTAACAGTGTAACACGGTAAGATAAAGACATTTCCTGACTTAGAATTATCGATTGATTGACTGTGTGGATCGATGCCATTATTTTTGGCAGCTTAAGTTAGTTAGAAGCTAATTGAGCTGAAAATTTGTACGCATCTCATTGGGGATTTACTCCAATGACAATCCCATCAAACTGATCGAGTCCTTCACTAGACTACCATGATTTGAGTTATATATATTTGTCAGTAGGTTTGAATAATCGTGTTAGTCTACAGATTTCCACTTTATTGACAAATGGCATAGAGTGCACTTTTGGCCAGCAGAGGCGGAAATGTACCATTTGAGTCAGTTGCCGAAGCATTGGTATATAAATAAGCATTCAGCATAGTTTGATTCACATTAAATAAATCAGTATTAATCCAACCGGCGTGTATTTATCTTTCAAAAATGTAGTATCATCTCAATCTAACATTGAAGCTAGGAGAAACATTGGTAGGCCTGTCTCATGTTTTCACTGCTGGTATATATATACTTAAAATTATCATATCAAAAGCTTGAAGTTAAGGTGGTCAAAACAGCCATAGACATGCTAGCTTTAGGGAAAAACTACTCAGGTTGACCGAGCAAACCGCTATGAGGGAGCTCTCATCAAAATACGTTATTTATGATACTACTGAATAACTCTCGCTTCATCTGTCTCTAACCGTCTACGAACAAAACCTAAATATTTTCCACTTACCAGACTGTAAATCACACCCTTTTTGGTTTATTTATGTTATATGACTGTACAATTTAATAAGTTTTCTTAGTTTCTGTGACCTGTTGATTGAGTTTCATGTACCATGACTAATTAGGCATATCTACATGATCAAAGTGAACAACTAAATAATTAACTTGTCTCCACCATTTTGGTTATCATCTGTATTACAGAAATCTTATCTAAATATCCTGGAAAAGGAATGGTGAATGACGTCTGTATTTATACTTTTCTGTACATCGGAGTAACAACTTCGAGTTAGTACAACGTTCTTATTGGTAAAACTCAGTGAGAGTTAGTTCATATTTTCGGGATGTAGTTTTGAATTGATTTTAAACGAATATATTTGGTTGAATCTACCTTGTCATAAGCTGGTCTCATGTTGGAATTCCGTTTTAAATAGGTTAAACACAGGCCTTCAATGCTTCGAAGATTATTGGTACACAGGTTTTGATTATTGCTACTGTTATAGCCCCATTTTAGATCCTTAAAGACAAATTCTCTTCAATATCACAAATTCTCCACAACTACTAAGCTTTTAGACTTGAGTGAATTTTTTGATGATAAGAAAAACTGGGGAGAACCGACTGTATATAGTGGAAGACCATGGCGCAAAGAAGAGCTTCGACTGAAGAGTAATGTTGATCTACATAAACTGTGGTACGTGCTTCTGAAGGAGCGTAACATGCTGATGACTATGGAAGAAGAGCATTTCCGTTGTTTGGAGCAAATGCCTAATCCTGAGCGCTTTGAGAAGGTAGGTCAATGTGTATACATATTGGATAAAGTTATCGCGCTTTAGAAGTTTGTCACCATAATTAGTTTGAAGTTATAAAGTTAGCTTTACTGAAATGATACTGGATACTTGTAAATTATGGCTGTGGCTTAAGAGTTACGACATTCGACTTCCAACCATTAGGTCGCATGTTCGAGTCACGCTCCGTTTACTTCGGTTTGGGCAGCTGGGTAGTATGCTAGCTGTGACTTAAAGCTAGAAAGACGAATATGTACTTGGCGAGTCAAATCAAATTACCTCTAAATCGTATTATATTTGAGTGTTAAGACGAAGTGTGTTGTTTTATTACGCTTATAAACACTAAGAAAACTGAATTTACCAAAAACGAATAAAGTAAATACTGATCAAATGGTGCTGCCTTTTCATGTCGTTACAATATTCTACGTTTTGTGCTGGGAATTCTTTAGTGTAACCAAACACTTATTAAATAAGCGGCTATTAATAATGCGCATACAGAAACACTTTGAAAGCTTACTTTTGATAGAGAAGCGAAATATTAGTCGTATTTGCTCATTATCTGCTATTCAGGCGCTATCACTGATGATTTTGCCGACATCTGTTGATCTTACTCATAGAAACCAAGCTAACAAATACAGTTGTGCTAGTGGAGAACCTGAAGGTTGATGGGTACATTTTATTTAGTAGAGGTCCGAGGTATAACAGTGACCAGGGCTTGGAGACTGTTGAGATATCTTACGACCGACCAGTGGGGTAGGTGTATTAATTCTTAGCCTTTCCCTGTGTCTTAAGCCTTAGTATTACCTTGTACTCTTAATCCATCGAATTCATTTCCTTTCGAACGGTATTCACCAATGTTTTATCTTTTCCAATATAACTGATACCGCTGTTATTTCAGATCTTGGTGTTCCTCCTAGTAATTTCGTCTCTCCGCACTGATATGGTGTGGTACATCTAACTGGATTACGTTTATCCCAGGTCCCATGTTGACCATGACTAACTACAATGACTATATGAACTCCGGATTCACTTTGTCTTGACGTAGCGGTTGGTGAGATTGACCCAGGGATATACAGGGAAATGGTATCATTATCGATCATAACTAAAGAGGTTTATCAGAAGAACATCACTTGGACTCCAGCGTGTGTTGTTACGTGTTTGCATGTGCCTTTGTCTAAATATGCACAAGAAACGTACATTTGGAAAGTGTGTGTGTTTGGTTTGATAGTAAGACTGTTTTTAAAAAGGAAATTGGTTAGATCGTTGACAAAACCTGCAAACGATCACAGTAAGATGTAGTTTGGTATGGAAACAACAGTAGGTCATTTAAACATAAACAGTGTGGGTCTTGGTACAAACTTGGATTGGCTCATGTTGATGTCCAGAAAACACGTAGAGTAAGTTTACAAAGTGAATATCATAGGAGTCAAGGTAGCATTAATAACATGGGAAAACTGAATAGAACATAGTTCACAACGAATTAATGAAATTAAGGGATAGGACGTATGACCTAAGTCAATTTAGATTTCTACGGTTGTTGTACAGACTCTAACTGGGAAGTTCGCACTTCTGAACATAAATCAGTCTAATAGTCAATCCCTTTAAAGAACTGGTGCCAACTGTAGCATTCTTATTAGCTACTTCTATGCTAGCCACCATTGGATGTGAGGAGAGATGGCGTCTGGAAGTACTCCACCCATGTAGCAGGCATCTTAGCCAATAGAAGTCCATAGCACCATTAATTGGTTCATGATCTAACTAAAACTGTGAATAATCTTGAATCCCTTAATGGTCTTCATACAGATAAACTACCTCAAAGACATCTGTAGTCAAACACCATCAACCCACACCGTAGCCGTTATTTTGACGAAGTCAGTCAGTCAGTCAGTAACAACGTAGAACTTCGTACGTACGTACATCAGTTCGAGTTGCTACACCACATTAGCACAGAGATGCACTTGTCGATTCAAATCCCGTAGTGGTAGAGGTAATAAGAGTATAAGCAGTGATCGGGAAGATTAGGGTTTGGAGATGTTATTTAAAGAGTATAATCCAGTGAAAGAAATTTGGAAAGAAAATAAGGGACATGAAGAACTCAGATTAAAATTTGGGAGAACACAGAGAGTGGATGCACTTGCGCCATTGCAAACGATTTCGAGCCATGTCATTCAGGGTCTCTAACTATCGGTTGCTGTCATCTCGCGGTCCCCTTTGACGAAGTGGTCAGACTTGTCAACTGTGACGCCGAACTATGTTACTTAGGATCCTTCCCCATTAAATATTTCATTGAAGCAACGACAGTTGTAGACTAGTGTTTGAAAAAGGATGTAGATATTTCACGTTACAAAAAGCTCTGATCGAGATTGAAGATGGTAGAGTTAGGTTAGGGAAAATAGATGTAAAATGATCGTTTGTGAGGCTTATTATTTATAGATTGTGTAAATAATGACTAATTCTATGTGGATTAATGAGCATCATTTTTAATAGTTTGTTTAATACAAGTATGTTAACCCATGCTATCTGTTTAGAACGAGCTTAAGTTACATTACATCTGTTTTTAAAATAGGTTGAGGAGAGTATGGAGAATCTTTTAATGGTCGTAGAAGAACGTAACCGTGCAGAAGATGAATTAGAAAAAGGTGAATGGGTTGGTCCAAAGGTTGTGGAGTCAGTAGACCCGTTGGGTCGAGCAGTTCAGACACTGACCAGTGAACATCTTTCTCCTAAAGTTATACCAAGTCATGCACAATCAGATGAGTGCATGTGGAGTGAAAAAACGGTGAACTTGTTGCGGTTGGAGCGCGAGAAGCGAATTATCAGAAGGCGCGAAGAGCAACGAAGACAGCGTTATTCCGACAGGCTTAAACACTGGAACAAAAGTGACTATCTCAACGAAGATTCGATTTGAAGCCAATTGGCATAAACTTATATTATCTTAGTGTATATATTGTAAATAAGTACTTTAATATCTACATGTGTTAGTTTAGCCAACTATAAGGAAATATTCTATGGCTTATAACAGTTCCGAATATTTTTTGAATTTAAATCACAAACCGACATGTCGCGGCAATAAATCTTAGACAATGTAGTTCACATTGACTGTAGCTAAGCAGTTCTATTAGTTGTCTAGTTTGTCCAGCCTGTAATGTAAACTACGAAATCCAACAATCCCCGGGAAATCCCGTATACTGAAAGTAATGGTTTTCTTAGGGTTGCGTGAGCCAATAAATAATAAAAGCCTAGATCAACACTAGATAGGTGCCACAATAAACCAGTTTCCAACAGATCTCGTGTCACTTGTCAAGCGTACATTCTTAGTATGGTCTGATGTCACTTTCAGGTCCAGAAATACAGCCGGATCCAGGATCTTTGGTCTTGCACACAATCACTTAACCTCCAGACTACTGAGAAGGGCATCCATGTCTGGCTTCAATCTATCCATGATCTTGCGCGACCCATCATCGATTGTCTGAAGAGGAACGGTTGTGCGAAACCATGGATCGGTTGAAGTTAAACATAAGCACCGGTGGATACCCCTCTTAGTAGTCTGGAGGCTAAGCGCTTGTGTGCAAGACCAAAGATCCTGGGTCCGAGTCCCACATGCGGAATCGTAGATAAACACGACTGAGGAGTCCCATGCTGGGACGAAACGTGTTTCTTAGCGCGTTATCTGGTTCTGTTTTTGCCCCCAGCACACTAACGTATGGTAAAAAAAATAGTGAGTAGGAAGTTTAGTTCCTGACGTGGTGTATGACACTCCTACTCTGACTCCAGCAAAATGTGGATTCCAGTTATTACGTAGTAAAAGACTAACATGCTAAGGAATACACTAGTCTGGGTAGAGTATATTCAAGTCACTGAGGGGTCCCACAATAGGTTCAAATGACTCATGATCTCAATTATTAGAATTAATATAATATCCACAATAAACCCCTTCTGATACAAATCATTATTTGTTTGACTGTGATTCTTAAATAGAATAGTATTCGCTGAAAAAATTGGAAACTAATTTAGTAATAAAAGAACTGGCTGGTAGTAACAGAATAACTAGGATCTAGAAACCTTTGGTTTTATATTGGGAGACCCAAAATATTAGTATCTTTCGAAAGGGTATATCTAAGGGGACTGGTAGAGGTTCCTTCTAAACGCCACGATATCCTTATATTACGAATAGAGTCCCTAAATGCAATTTACGAAGAAAACTAATCTACACCAAGTTTTCACTACATTACTTTCTAGACTATTAATGTATTTCCACTATGATTTGTATTTAGTGATAATTACCCAGTACACAGATTATAATCGATGTATAACCGATCAACTTAAACATGCTTTTAATTCCACTGGGTTCATCATTAACAAAACTTCTATTACGAAACTGGGCTTCTTACTGTAGTTAGCGAAGTAGGGAAGAATAGAGTAGCAGTAGTCCCATTCACCGTATTGATATTGAAGTTGCTAGTTATTCCTTGTAAACGCCTAGATGTCCTTAAACAACCGAAAATAATCAGTCAAAATATTTCTAGTGAGATAGCTACGGTGATCATAATTATGTGTAGTTAACTATTGACCTCTGAGGTGAATATGAACAATGATAAAAGTAATAATCTCAACATCTAAGAGACATTAGTGTTACACATATGTACATATATTTATTAGTACAAACACATTTCACATTGACTAGGAACGTAACTGCTTTTCCAATTCTAGTGTCTTTACTAAGGCGTGATTCAACTTCTTGCCGACAATTGTTGCTAACTAAAAATAAAGCGTGTTAGTCGAGATTGTTGTTACCTGTGACATCTCAACAATTGATTCTAATTGACAACTACAACATCCATCTTGTTCTAAAGAACCAATTGAACCATCTGGATAGATAACAAGAGATAATCTAAAACCACTTGTTAAGAACAATTTATTGCAAATCTGACCTGGATAATGAACAGGCTTCTTCCTCCTTACTTGCATCTATGATATATGTCTTTCCAATCTAGAAAATCAAGTGAAAGGTTTTTGAAGTAACGATTAAAACGGGTTGTTTTTAATGGCTTGGTTTTCAATTCTAAAAGCAAGGGTAAGCCATTTATCTAATTAGTATCGTTTACATTCAAGGAACAGGCTCAACCAATAGTCCGGTAAACTAATCTGTAGCTGATTGGACAAGAAATTCGGCTAACGGGTGAGTCGATATGGTTATGATGAATAACATAACTAAACTACTTACTTACGCTGTTACCCCTCGTGGAGCAGCACAGGCCGCTCACCAACATTATCCATCCAACTGTCTTGGGTACTCTTTTCCAGTTGCTATTCATCAGTCAGTAACAACGTAGAACTTCGTACGTACGTACATCAGTTCAGGTTGCCACACCACATTAACACGGAGATGCAGTTGTCGACTCAAATTCCGTAGTGGTAGAGGTAGTAAGAGCATAAGCAGTAACCGGAAACATTAGAGCTTGGAGATGTTACTCAAGGAGTATAATCCAGTGAAATAAATTTGGAAAGAAAATAAGGGACATGAAGAACTCAGAAGATTAAAATTTGGGAGAACACAAAGAGTGGATGCGCTTGCGCCATTGCAAACGATTTCGAGCCATATCATTCAGGGTCTCTAACCATCGGTTGCTATCATCTCGCGGTTCCCAACCAGGTAGTTTACACCTACCAACATGGCTCAGTTCACTTGTCAGTGACTTCATGGACTTGCTATTCATCGTTTTGATGTATGCTTGCAGTTCTTGACGCAGTGTATTCTCTGGAATTCCTCTTTTCCGTCTCTTCAGCATTCTAAGTAAGCGCATTTTTCGTGATGCAGTTTGATGATTCCTGAAATGTATATCTTGTCCACCACCATCATCTTTTCTTAATTTCCGCTTCAGATAGAAGCTGGTTCATTCTCTCCCATAGTAGGCTGTTGCTGATGGTATGGGATCAACGGACATTGAGTATCGTGCGTAAACAATTGCTTATAAACGCTTGCAGTTTTTTATGGTGGTAGTAGAATGTAACTAAATTACCCAATTCAAATTAAACGTTTATATAAGATGACTAGACATAGCATGAACAAGTGTCACTAAATGCATAATACAATGTTGAAGCTCTTATACAGGAAATGAAATAAGCAGCATGTGAAAACATACATTTATTTTCGGATTTACTTCTACGAGTATACAGTGTTCTGAGTCAATTGTTAATGGAAGGTCTAGTGAAATAGAGATATGCATGAAATATGAAGATCATCAAGAAAATAGTTTGTATGATACTGAAAGCATCAAATACATCAACACTATGACAAATATAACGTTAATTATAACCAGTAGTTTAATAATTAGACATTCTAAAACTGATTCACAAGTGTACCTACCTTATGTATTGTGACAAATAACGGCAACATATCTCCACGAAGCTGGCGAACTTCTGCCTCAACAGACTTTGAATTGTTTTGAAAAACAGACAATAATAAAGAATTTGACTGTCTAAAAAGATTTCTTAAGATTTTAAAGCAACAGTGACATACGTAGCGTTTAGTAGAGCAGCTTTGACTACCAGGGAGGAAGCATCAAGTAAGTTCCCAGCACCTTCTAAGATCTGGGAAAAACAATTATATACAAAGAAAACTAACAAGCAGATCGATATAGATGACCCAGCACTGTCGACCTCGTTGGATACACAGAGGGCTTAGATCTATAAACTTCGATTGATAGGTTGATTGTAATGTTGTCTTCAAACGTTCCTCTAGCTCGGACGCTGCCTTCTCACTACACCGGTGAGTTGCTGTAGGATAACTGAAAAGGAAAATTCTGTACAAACCGTCGGTTTTACAATCAAAAATGCACCTAATGTTACAGTTAATGAGACACATGCGATATTGAAAGCATATGTTGACACAAAACATTAAAATACGCTTCAAAGTGATATATTATTTGAAGGTGAATACCTCTCATTTTTAAACCAACGAAATATGTGAGAGTACTTTATAAACTTTAGTAACACTCACCATTCAACATTTATTTCAATACGACCTTCACCAGTGTTAGTTAAAGAAGGTTTGCCAACCTCCATTTTAACACAGCAAACAATGAATGTTTCTCCCTACAAATGATGAAATCCAATGTGGATATGATGTACTTACAATACGAATACTAGCTGAACCAGTCGCGTGACTTAAAATATTGGTTTCAATTTCCAAAGGTCGATATTCACTTGGTTCACGACCATCCATTCTACATCCCACCTAAGTTTAGTTGAGTTTAGCAAATAAGCTTACTTCAACTCCTTGTACTAAGTAGAAACGTTCAAGATCACTCAATAGGATTGTGTCCATAGTAATTCAATATCAAACCAAGCACTTTATTTCGATATACCTGTGTACGAAAATAAAATTCATGCAATAGTACAAAAAAGTTTAACGACTGGTATTTACAAACTTTGTACTCGTATTTTTAAAATATTCGACCTGTGCATATTATAAATTTTCGAATGCAACTAGCCCTGAAAATGAGGTATGAAACAGGTGTTTTTATTGATATATAAGGGACCAGAGAATACTTAAGTCCTCCATCAATTCCATAAAGTACTCCGAAATTCCAGTTTGAATATGCACAGACCAGTATTCTCAACAGTGAGTAAGTGTCTAGACAAATAGGAGTTTCCTTCAGACTATTAAAAATAAATTGTAAGCCTTGATATTAATTTGATCAACTAATCATTAAAACGCATCAACAGGGATGACAAGTACATTCAGTATGCACAGTGAATCTCGAAACCTATTTTTTGGCCTTTAATCCTGCAGAAATAAGGAAGACTCGATAACATACACGGACGAAAGAGAGTACTTACGCGAGACTCACATGTGCAGTAACGCCCAATTTTGAAAGCACGAGTGCCCTAAGGTTGCACTTTTCAAACCTCAAACCATCCTCTAAAATTTGCCTATTGAAAACTTCAGTTGTTCGGTAGGAGAGCGTTCTTCCTAATGCAAAGAAATACTTTATTTTGTGTTTTTCCTGGTAATGAAGTCTAAAACACGACAAATTTATTGATAGCAATTATATTCTGTTTCGTACGCTGAGGACAACATAGAATTTTATAAAATTCTATGCCTATAGGCATATGTGGTAATGTGAAGATCCAGTCCCTTTTCGGGTGTATCAAAAGATGTAAGCAATTTGATTTTGGTTTCTGAACTCTTTTGGGGTGAGTTCTCATATAATGATTACTGAATGGAAATCAAGGATAAGACAGATTATTACCAAAATCATCGTCCAGTTTATGGTAAGAGAGCAATAAGTCACTCCATGCTGGAGATAGAGTTACAGGAACATGTTGAAGCGTCTGAGTATGCGTTCATAAAATGGGGTAACGAGACCTTCTTCCATTTTGGTCCCTCGCCGTTAAACTTATTTTAGCATACCTGCTTCATATGCAAAACAATGACTTAGTGTCCGAATTCCATATCCCAAAGATGGCTTCAAAAAAGCCCACTACTCAGGGGCTCGGACTTGCAGCCTTAGTATCGAAATAGGGACAATAACGGGACGGTGTGCGCATGTTTCGAATACAAGTCTCTTTGAAACTAACGCACAACAACAATGCAATGCACTGTCCAATAGCTCACAGCAGATCAGGAAACCCGAAAATCACGAGTAAACCTTCGGAGCACACCATTAGCTCGGTGCTACCTAGACATAGTGAATTCAGTGATCTGCTTACCAGGGACCAATTCAGTTTTTCCCGGTCAGTGCATGCAATCAGTGCCGAGCTTGCCTATGGTAATGTCGGGTCCTGGTTTCCAAACTACTGCTCTGCCTCCACCTCCTCCACCACCACCCCCTACATTTGCGCAACAGATGCAGGCTCCAGCTTCTAATCTCTTAGAAACCTTAATGAGCAAGGCGGGTCTACCTTGTAATACACTAAGCGATTTAAATCTAAATAATAAACCAAATGACAAACCTGATTCTGTTCGTGAGAGCTCTCCCATGAAACAAATCAACAAACTGTTAAGCTCGGCTGCAAGTTCTCTTTTAAACCAACTTGCAGGTAACCAAAGAACGGATGTAGACACTTCATCTTCTGATCCATTGCCACCTCCTCCTCCACCACCGTTACCATTCCAACAACATAATGAGCTGCCGCCAACCACTTCTACTCTGTCACATTCATTCGTACCTCCTCCACTCCCAGCAGTAATTAATCCGTTTTCTAACAACGAAATCGGTGACAAAGTGTTGCCTAATGGTGCATGTGGAGAAACTAAAACGGAAAGTAAGAAACCTTTTGGAGACATGAAGATTGAGGAAGTACTAGCAAAGCGGAAAAGATACGACTTCTCTTCACGTCGTGAGTGGCAAGAACGTATCGCCTTGGAAGTAAAATCAGTTTTAAAGCCTGCATACTCTCTACGACGTATTAATAAAGAAGATTACAAAGAAATCATGAAAAAGGCTGTTACTAAGGTAAGAGGTATCAGTAAATGTATACTAGTTCATTGTAGATTTCGCGAAGTGGTACATCTTCAATCAATACCGAAAAAATAAGCGCATTTGTAAAGCTGTATATTGAGAAATATCACCGTATGCATAAAATAAAAGCTCAGGCAACTGCAAAGGCAACTGTACAGTGAACGTGTTATTTTAATTTCATTGTAAATTGTATATAATATAGATTATTTAATATATACCAGAAGGTTATGTTTTTCAGCTCATGTTAGAAACCGCATCTTCTCTATTTATAGGTGTTTTATATAGTATGTCATAATTAACATACAGCCTAGAATAAATGTGTGTTAGCCCAAGTTGCCATGCCACTTCAGGACGGCGAGTTGAAATTAACAAAAATACCAAATAAGTCGAAGTCATGTAGTATTAGTGTCAATGACTAAAACTAAACATGAAGAATATGGTTCGAAAAAGATGAGTTTTTAGTTATTATATACATCATAGGGTGTCGATGTCACTACATTTTTTGGTGTAACTAATACAAATACAGTTATTCATGAGGCTTTCTTCCAACGGTGCTTCATCTCCAACTTCTGTCCTAGAAGTATGTAACCTTGATTATTTTATAGCTGTACCTACCTACATTTGTATTCTAAAGACCAAAATAATTGATTAGGCGTATGATTCATTCAGCTATCCTCATAAGTACATCATCAATGATAAGTCTGTTAGAAACGGTTTAGTATACTCTCTCAAACTAATTGAACTTTTTGCCCTAATTTATATCTTGTTTTTAGTGTGCAACTCTCATTTTGACAAGTCCGATTGGGTCCTTAGGTTCCACTAAAGTCCCAAAAGCTGTTACATGTTCTTGTTTTTAAAACTTTTGAAGTGGTTTCCGGGCTGCAGTAGCACTTTAGGCGACAAGAATCTCAGTATATATGTATATTTGCCTATGCAGAGAGATGAAAATCCGACTACCACAATGAACAGTGGATATTGGCCGAGACTAGCCCTAGAATCACTACCTCCCGATCCAATCAGTGTTGGCTTTTACACACGTGTTCTAGATTCCGTTCCAGCCATAAACTCATGTTCTCTAGATGGTTAAGAGTTGGGTTTTTCAAATGTGTATGGTTGCATATCCCCAGGTTTATGCTGTCTATGGTTGCGGGACACCTGTTACTCAAAAGGTCCTTAAGATTGGTTCGTACTATAACCCTTAAGTTAATGGTGTCAATGTAGAGCGGAAAGTTTAGGCACGAGCTGTTTGATGAAACTAAGGTTTAGAAACAACATAACCCGCGAACTTTGAAAGTGGTAACATTTTTTTCACGTGGTTTAGGAATTCTTCGACTTGCTCTTTTGTAGGGTGTATTATACTGTGATTATCATCCTATCCTGTACATCGGGTACATCTTATCCGAAAAATAAGGAAAAAACTTATTTTTATTCGACGGACAATTACCAGTTCGTATTGTACCTATTGCGGACTTAAGTCGTAAATAGATCTGCAATTCATTATATACTCACAGTCTCTAATCCTAGTATTAACCAGGTTAATACTTAATAACAACTAATACTCAGATATTATATTTAATTTAACGAGCACTGTGCTCACTTATTTTCATATCATGTCCAATAACTCCAGTAAAAGAGGAATTTCACCAACTTCTAAGCCAAATAAAAGGTCCAAATCTGTAACCCCTACAACTGACGACTCAGTGCTTGACAATGTCGAACCTTTAACTACTGAAAAATATGTGTATTGTACACAAATGTCTCTATCGTCACCAGATTCTCCATGTCGCAGCCCCTCTATCTTTACGTGCAGTATGCCAACGGTAAGACTGGTTGACATACAAGACACTATACCTACGTGCATCGAAAAGCCAGCACAGTCTACTAGACAGTATGTGCTACCAAGGCCTAAATCTAAAATTTCAAAAACTAAAGAGTCCAATGGTCCACCTCATACACACCAAAATACTGATAGATATAGTAATGACATCCGACAGCTACAAAACTCTCTATCCGAAATTAACGGCAAACTTGAGCAATTAGCACCCCTCACTCATATATGGGGCCTTGATACAGACAGAAATCTTGAGCAACTCACTAAAGCTGAGTGTATTTTGGAGTTTGTGGCTGAAGAAGTGACGAAGAGAGTGATGTCCTCCTTCAATGCAGTTGTGTATAACCTCCCCGACCGCACACACCCATCTAAGTTAAGGGATATTTGCCTTAGAGCATGCGGTATGCCGAACGTTAACTGCAAAGTCATCCGCCTTAGAAAAAAGTCAGACAGATCGACTTGCCCCCTTTTGTTTATGTTTGGCTGTTGTAACGATGCTAAGCAGTTTATTAATTTGAGCAAAAATATTAGCTCACTAATTCCATACAAGAATATAAAAGTCACTCCAGACCTTACGCCCTGTCAACGTCGTGTAAGAAGACGCGAAGCGATAGAATTGAATGGGAGTGTTACAGTTAATAATCAGCCAGAGACAGTTTGCAACACAGCAAATAGTTTAAAACACACGAACAATAAGCATGACACCACTCCACATACGGCTGATCACTCTGTTGATCTAGATGAGTCTACAGATCAGAAACCTTTGGATAAGATACGGACCCCAACTGACACCAAAAACCATAACGACATGACTAATCCCAGCTGTTCGTTCAGTAATGTACTAAAATGTGAGTCGTGTAACAACACACATCCAACTAAACCTATACACTTGAAAATTTGTCCTCCTAAAGATATTCCACAAGTAGACTTGAATGAACGTAAGTTCATCTCACAGAGACAACGAAAGACTCCAGCTCTGAAAATAAAGGGTGGGAAGACAAAACTCATGATACCGAATAGGGAAACACGTAAGATTGAACCCAACTGCTCTATAGGTATCCCAAGAACAGTGAACAGGTTCTCCCCGCTGCTATCGTATAACTTGCCTTCAACACCTCCAAGTTGCAAAAAGGGTGGTGGGCTTCAACGTAGCAAGCCTTCTTACACGCAGACTAACGAAAACTACCAGAGAACTGGCCACCCAAATCACCCCCTGAAGCCTAAAACCATAAATAAGAATGGTAATAATAGGTTTCTCACTCCACACCCTACCTACATTCCCCAGGATCGCAACTGTAATTACTCTCAGAAAGAAAACTTCTCACACCCTTTAGTACCGACCCATCACATAACAACGGCTCCCATGTATAACAGCAGTCGCAACTCCTCCCAGTTACGCGTAGCAGACCCCTCTCACGCTAACGTAAATAGCCATAACAGGGGCTACGAGTCTAACCATCAAGACTATTTTGTAAATAACCATACACTTCACAGTAGGCCTGTACAAGATTTTTTTGGAATAAGACCCCTAGTGACACCTCTGTTGAAGCATATAGCCCAGGTTATTTCAAACCACATGCAAACCATAAATTTGTTTCCTCCGTACAGTTTCCATCAGAGAGTACTCCCACCCTTTCCTCCTGGGTAAACTCCCCAATCAACTTCACTAGC